GGGTCGGGGTACGGGTAACGTAACGGTTACGTAACCCGTACGTACCCTACGACTACGTACGTACTTACACTACGTACGACCTATATATATATATATATATATATATATATATATATATATATATATATATACTTGCATTGACACCCTTAGATGGGGCAATGAAGAAACTACCCTTCCACAATAGGCTTTAACATATAACCATCAATGCTCCCAAAGTTTGCAAATTTCAAGAATACCTTAGCCTATAAAGAACCACTAAAAGACAAATGGATCAAGGCATTCTCTTGGAATATGGTATTAGTGCAGGAATTTCGAGAGGAATTTTGAGTACAGACTCTCCCATATATTTGAGTATTTAGTACTTCTCTAGTACTCAAATATATTGGAAGTTCTTTAGTTGTCTTCATAATCATTAGACAAAACTCGGATCAAAGGATCAAATCTCAATAATCAAAGTTCCAACTATCCAGCATCTAGAAAGAAAATCTAGTTTCGACCACAAAACATCCCAAAACATATGCCTAAAAAAATTAAACCCCAAGAAACACACGATGGAAGAAAACCTCATCACAAGAAAGGGATGATCACAACATTGGCGAAGTCGTAATAGCAACTCCAGAATGGAAGCATAGTTGTGCAACACTCTTCCTTGCTCCACAAACTGGTCAAACTTGACCTGCAAAATCAGGAACAAACTCATAGTTATGAAACAGGTAATTATATTCATAAGAGCAACCCAATAAACTACACAGGAATCAATGAAAAGAAACCTTTGATCGTTTAAATAAAGCCTCATAAAAATCCTTCTCAGCTTCCGTGAGCTCGCAATAAATTACTTCAACATCAGCTGGGGGAAGAACAAGCATCGGCCTACAAAACACTAGCAAGTATAAGGAATGAAACTAACTAATGCCAAAAGAAGATATTATTGTAATCACATGCTGACCTTCCCTCTTTGTCAGTGCTGGATTTGGTTCTCCTCAACATTATTGGCCTTAAGATAGTCTGCACAATCTTCAAACCACGTTCATCACCCTCCTCAAAAGGCTTCTGAATAAGTTTGTGCCATCTTCACAAATGAAAACACAACTTAACTGCCAACTAATAAACAGAACATTGCAATTTTCACAAAAACCAATTACATTTCTAAAGACCAATCAAAAGTTTGAAATATTTACAAACAAAATGCGCTCAAAAAAAAGAAAAAGCAGTGGTAGTGGCGCCAATTGTACATTCATAACTTGAAAGCTCATAAAGAAGGAGATCAGTATAGACACCTAAGCTTGGCGAATCAATGTTTTCCACTTCTTTATACAGATGACAGAAATTAAATTAACATTAGAAGCCAATAACAAAATTATAACCCTAAAAAGTATAAACGGTTATGTATATGACAAGTTCCATTTAGCCAAGACTGAGACAACATAGAGCATCTTGGAGAATTAATGATAAAGATGCTTCAGAATCTCATACTATATATCATCATCATCATAGCCTTTCCCAATTAGTTAGTATCATACAATATAAGATACTACTTAATTACTTCACTTTTTCACCAATTTTCAGCTATTTTTAGTTATTTGTGGTTAAAAACATGTGATTTTCAGCAAACAACTTTGAAAAAAGTAAAAACAGCTTTCAAAAAGATCAACTAAGCTGTAAAACTTTCCATAAGTATATCTCAAATAATTTTATCAGCGACACTATGGAACAACAAATACGGGCCCTAAAATTTTAGGTAAAATACGAAATGCTCCTCCACTTATCAGCGGAAATTACAAAGAATGTCGGTCAACCCACTTTTTCTTTTCTTGTTTATTTCAAAATTGCCTCGGTCAACCCGAATTTTGATTATTAATTTTTTTTTTCCGTTAGTAGGGCGGTGCCCCAAGCTAAACAACTTTGAAAAAAGTAAAAACAGCTTTCAAAAAGATCAAATAATCTATAAAACTTCCTATAGGTATATCTCAAATAAATTTATCAGGGACACTATAGAACAAACAGATAACTCAGTATCAGGATTTATTTTATTAAAACAGTGAATTACCAATGATAACAAGTATGTCTAAAAAAGCCCTCATAATATAGAGTTAGGCATCATGATACGATCTCCTGTACTCATGCTCACAGTGGGACTATAAACTATATAATTTATAGACTTGAGGCTAATCTAAACACTTTTGAATATTAATACAAGGGAGGGGTTCCCATACAAACCCCCACCAGCTTAGCCAAAAAATAATCTGAACGTCTACTAGACTCCTACTTTTATGCACCTTGGATCTATGTTTCATGCAACTAACAAAACCCCCCTATTTATTTGTTTCAATAAGAAAAAAAGAAGAAAAACAAACATTCATTGAGACAAAGGCAAACAGTTTGCAGAGAAAATTGAAGGCCTGAAGCACCATGCCAGCAGTTTCAATGCAGCAGAAGATTTCATTAGATAGGATCAACAGCAAGAATCAAAAGAAAACTTACAAACCCCAATTGCTCCAAGGCTCAACCCTCAAAAATCGAAGGAGACTATATATGTCCTCCAAATTGTTCTGCCACAGTAGATTAGCAGTTAAAAATTTTGGTAACAGTTAGTGCAATCAGATATCACTACCTATAACCTCGATCATTTTAGCTAGCTTGAAAAATGTCAATTGGCCAAAGCCTATGAGCAAAATAACAGAAACGGCAATAATTAAATTATTTTCAATTTGCATGTTGACAAATAACACATGAACTACAGAGTACAAACAAGATAGCACATCAGTTTACATGAAAACAAAAAATGACTGCCCAAATTGGAACTGTAATAAATTGATTGAAGTTCAAACTTCAAGCATGTGTAAAATAGGCAAAACAAACATGCATGAATAGTGCATAATCCACATTTTGCATGTTCAAAGATGAAATACTCTTAAACAAAGGTTAGAGGGTGCATGTATCAAGACCCACAACTGTATATAGAAACCATGCTTGTGAATCATGGTTCTATATACTGCTGAGAGCGAGGTGATGACAGTCTCCTTTCCAATTAACATCAACCTCTTTAATTGTACCTTCTAGCCAGCCAAATTACCAATATATGAGAATTATTCTGCCGCCCCATATCAAAGAGAAGTATGGAACACTGAAGGTTTGAAATCCAATAGGAATATCCCTTACTTAGATGTTATTAGAATGATAATAAAACATATATATGAAAAGAAGTCAACAACAAAATTCTGGAAACCATGTATGAAGACTGGAAAAAATATGCCATGTCAATGTAATTGACTCAAGTTCTAGTCACTGAATTGTTACTTTCAGTAGGCATCTGTTATATTCTCTTGATTTCAGAAATTATGGGAGGATAAAACTAGTAATGTAGAATTGCATGAGACAATCAACGATAGCTAAATATAAGTGGGACTGGCAACAAAGATGTGGGGCGTCAGTAGAATACCACGCAAAAGACCTATATGTCAATTGCTTGATAGTGCTAGAGCCGCAAAAAAAGAAAAGGAAAACATGACGGCAAATGTCAATCATCTTTGGAAGATCAAGTTGGTCACGACAAATTACTCGCACGGCATTCTAATCAGAAACGACTTAAAGCAGGCCACAGACAAAGTAAAAACATAATACCATGAGATCCTAGACTAAACAGGAGCTTATGGGATAATGTAATGTGGTACAGTGGTACTTAACATTACAAACTCATACATATACACTCGCACATAACTATGTGCGCATATGCACGAATGCCCACAGACCACCTGCACATGTACGTCCACACATCTGGAATGTTTCCATGACAGACACCACAGCAATTGCTATACAAAACACCCTGCCCTTTCAATTTGTTAGCGAAAACCAAAATAAATAAATGAGACCATCAGAAAGTCAGAGGTAGGTCTCTCCAAAAAGGTGCAATCCTTGGGAAATGAAGTATGCACCTCATATACAACATTTCAAGAGACGCATGAGCAGGATTTGTTTGTACCAACTGAAAAAGCACCTCGGCTCCCAAAAGATTGGAACTCCCACGGAGAACAATCAAAGGAGTTCTACTCAATTATGCCAAACAATGGAAATCCGAACTAACTAACAAAGTCTCACCTGAATAGGTGTACCAGTCAAGCACCACCTCCGATCAGCAGTGAGTGCAGCTGCAGCCATCGAAGTTTGGCTCTTCGTAGATTTTATTGTATGTGCCTCATCAAGTACAACCCTAAACCATCGGACAGAATAAAGTCCCCCATTATCTTCAGCATTCTGTAAAAAAGTGAAAAAAGAGGCAGTTTCCCACTTTTACTTTTTCTTATCCAATATTGGAAACAAGTCTATAGATATCTTGGAAACAAGTCTATAGATATCTTCAGTAATTCGCAATTTTCCACTTATACCTCGGCCTGGAATTCTGATGCTAAAACGCCATATGTTGTTAAAACAACATCATATTGTGTCAGAACTTTTGCATCCTTTGGTCTACTTTGGCCATAGTGAACATAAAGAGAAAGAGAACCAGGTTCAACATGAGCTTCAATCTCCGCCTGTCACAAAACCAATACCAAATTATTTTCGCCAAGGATCAGCGACATTCATACTTGAACAAGAAATAGGAAGTTGCTAAAATAATTCTTATGCAATTGAAACATTCGAATTCAGTGTCATCAGCTACAAGAAAGCAACCTGTGCAATGATGTGTTAACCAAGTAAGATGAATCTAGAATAGAAGTCAGGAAAAAATACCTTCCACTGCCCCAGCAGTGTCATGGGGCAAACAATGAGATTGCCACCACTAACATGTGATATTTTGCCCAACTTCACCAACTTGCTAAAGCCTGAACTAATTATGGGATCCTCAGACATATCAGGAGAGTGGTCAATGATGCTGCTAACTTCACCTGTATAACTACTATGCTGACTGACAGGGCCAGAACCCGATCCACCCTTATCAGAATGTGAAAGCAGAAGGGCTATAGTCATTATAGTTTTCCCAAGACCCATTGCATCTGCTAAAATCTTTAAGATAAAAGACCCAAGTCAAAAAGAGAATGAAGAAATATTAATGAAACAGAGATTTGATTCAAGATTAAAGTCCATAACATACTCCCCCTCTTGACATTTGCAGAGCACTGGGAAATTCTGTGGTAGCATCTCCTGAAAACGCATTAATATATACGACAAGGTCCCTCCTGAAAAAATACAAAAGCACAATAATTGGGGCCAATGTACAGTAGCAAGTGCAAGACACAATATCATATTCAGACGACAACAAATTTCCACTCTCAAATGACTTAGCAAATGAAAGTTGGAAAACCATCTCTTCTTACGGGTCAGCTAGGTGATAGGCATCCCAGCATGGATGGAGCGCAGTTCCTGCCTCATCCAGACATCTACCCTTCTCAAGCTGGACCATCCAATGAAGAGCCTGCTTTTGATAGGGCCTCAATTCACATTGCAAGGTATGAGGGGGATCCATTTCCTGCAATAAAGTGGTCCAACATCCATGCAATAAGCATCCATAGATGCCATAAACAATGAAAGAAAATTAAAAAGAGATGGAAAAAGAAAAGGAAAGAGACAATATGGGATTGAAATACCTCTAGTTCAGAGCTATCAGAGGTACCCACGAGCTTATCAACATCAGAATCGGAAATGTTTTCCTCCTGTTCATTTTCTACTCTATTGGAATCTGAAGACAACTTCCTAATCTTCTCTGGAGGCAACAATGGTACACAAACTCCTGAACTGTCCTGTTTAATTGCCATTGGCTAGTAGTTATAGAGAGTAAAACAACTTCAATGGAATATAGACAAATAAGTTCACAAGCTATACCTTCAAATCTAGGGACCTCTTCCTGCTATAAAAGTCTTCTGGCATAAATTCTGCCTGAGTAAATAATCAGAGACTGTCCTCAGAAGGGGTAGAAAGCAATCATAGATAGAAAATGAGAAGAAAAAAACAACCATGTCTAAATCATTACAAGAAGCAAATTTATGAAATGTAGCATCAGAAAATATTTCCAGTACAAACATTGGCAAATGACATCTTTATGGTAGTCAGCGAACACCAAAAACTATAATGTAAATGAGAAATCAGTAAAAAAGAAAAAAATCTCTCTGAATTTAAAGTAATGTTCACTTGTTAGAGGAAGAAGCAGAACTGGCATACACTGGCTTGCTCTTGCTTCCCCAGAAAACTAAGGCAAGTCAGAGCAAAACAAACAGGTAGGTAATTATGGGTGACGATTGACATGGAATATTGTTCCAACCATGGAATAGCATCGTATCAAGAGTGCCGCTCAATGGCATGCATCCTTCCTTTGATCCAAAACAATAGAAATAAAATATTTAAAAGCTAAGGCCATATGTAAGACGAAAGAGTTTTCAATTATAAGCAAAATTTCTTACTTTCTTAAAAGGGGTTAACCCCAATAATCTGAACAAAACTGGAAGAGGGTGAACAGTTGAGTCCTCGGGTAAACTGCGGAAAGACTTAGGAGAAGCTTGGTGCCGCTTGCGAAACATGGAACTATTTATATAAACACTGCACAGCAAAAAATGGTGGGGATTGATTCTATAAAGCAAATAAAGCGAAAAGACCAAAACATTTGAATTGAGATTTGACAGTAGCAAAAGTTGGGCATTTGTCAAATTAAACATAATGATCAGGATAATATGTAATTATACAATCACACTCTTTTACCAACAAAAATGAAAAAGATATTTACCCCAACCACACCTGACTGATAGAGTTATAGTATCCATTATACTGAGAGTATCAGGAGCACTTTTGCAAGAGCCCTCAATCTGAACCTTCCCAGCCTTCACCAATGGCAATAAACTACGAGCCCATTCAGTTGGAATACGCCCAATCTGAAACAATTTTAATTTAACCACATTAAATTGCAAAACCATGGCTACTTATCCCAAAAACATTTTACAAAACCATGGTTATTATCACAATAGAACTGTACCAACCCGCGGATTAAGAGGCCAAAAAGAAAAAACCACTTGTGAATTTAATACAAACACACTATACTATTACTACAGAGTTAGCCATTCCCTCAAAAAAATAAAATTGCATATTCATGGTTACTTCACATATAGAACTACACCAATCAATGCATTGAAGCCAAAAAAAAAACACTGTTTGAACTACCTCTCCAGAATATTTTGTGGAGAATCGCACAATTTCTGAACAAGCAGTGTTTGGCCGCCCTCTTCCAAATAGTTTACCACTAGTTTTGTGTGAAGGTGGGCTGTTCTTAAAAGGGAACGAGAATGAAACAATTTCCCCAACCTTAAGCTTCCTTCCTTTGCACGTAGATAATGCAGTAATATCAGAGCTCCCAACAAACCACCAATTGCTATTGATCGAGCCCAGACTTTCACCAGTAAATCTGGATACAGATTCATTCTTGATAGATCTATCATCCAGTTCTTTTGTTTCATCGTTCTTTATTGAACAAGCTTGGAATGTGTCATTTCTCCTATCTAACTGCATATCATCAGAGGTCTCACGGGACAAATTTGAGCTCTCTACCATTGATGACGCCCCATAAACTTCACTTTTGGGCTGCTCCCTAACTTTTTGAGAAGAAGTCTTTTCTCCGGAGCTGAACTTTGGGGTGTCGAGGATTATGTTAATGGCTCCAGTTACGTCATTGTTCGCCATATGAAGAGCTCGAATTATATCCATGTCTGAGAATCCATGGCCAAGTACTGAGCGCACAGCTTCTGTAAGCTCCTCTTTCCCCATCATGAAGAGCTGAAACCAACCAATAAATCAGACGAAACAGAAACAGTAACAGTAACTCTAGAATATACCAGCTAAAATAAAGAGTGCAGAGAGAGATAAATGAAAACCCTATAACTAACCAGTTACAGAATTCTCCGACCAATCCTAATAGGGACTGGATACAAAATTGAAACCCTGTAAAAATATGCGAGAGAGATGCAAACCCTAATACAGATTGAAGCCTTCGTAAACAACAGTCCCGTCCAAACGAGAGGAAAGAGAAATGCAACCCAAATAAATCAACACGATGAGAGAGAAATGCATGCCCTAGAATTCATCAGGCGTGCAGATGAGCCAAATAAACCCTAAATCCCACCATCCATTGATGAGATGGGAAGCTAGTACTCAGAGGAGAGAGAAGCACGTAGATTGTTTCGCAAACCCTGGCTTCCTCAAGTTCCAGAGAGAGTGGCGGAGGAGAGAGAGAGAGGTGGCGGGAGGCTTCCTCAAATTCTAGAGAGAGATTGGTGGCGGGAGGGAGAGAAGGGCGGGAAGAAGAGCGGCCCGACTTTTTGATGATTTAACGAGAAAAAAGTTTATGTAGAGCCGAGGCTCTAAATAATAGTATTAGAACCCACCTTTGAGGTTGTTTTGGTGTTCAAATATCCTCAAATTTATCATCGGAGAAAAAAATTAATTTCAAGTTTTGAACCGTTAACTTTTAAGATTTTAAAGTTATTTTTTAAAATTAAAATTTTATAATTAAATATTAAAATACATTTTAAAGATATCACAAATATTTTCAATATTAAAACCATATTTCTCGACACTATTTAAAGATACACTTTACTTTGATTGTTTAGAGCCCCGGCTCTATACAAACCTCATGTTTTAACGAATGAGTGTTTATTCTTGACACGATAAGGTAAAAAACTCTGTAAGCCGTTAGATGTATAATCTTACGGCTAAATGCTTGCATTATGAGTACCCTGAAAGTTAAAAACGTGCTTCGGACTTTTCATGGACCCGGGGACACCCCGTTTTGCATCCGACGGCCAAGAATAATAATTGCCTTCGGGTACGCAAGATAAGCAATCTGTATATTACTAATTTTACTGTCTTCCCTTGTCTATCTAACGTTCATCTCTAAGATGGGCGTCAAAAAATATTGCATCCACTAAAAGTTAAAATAGACGGTGAAGAGAGTAATTCACAAAATAACATTTATTGTTTTTAAATAAAATTTCCAAATTTAGATTGTTGTCGTGATCGAGATTATCAAATCTACAAATTTTGGATCAAAATGACATCTTTGAGATATATTTTGCAGCATAAGAATATTGTGAGTTGGCCTACTCACAAAACACTTTTCTTAATTTGAAACCATGGACTTTGGTGCTATACATAAAAATAAAATGGCATTGTAAAGGTAGATAAGTTGCACAACTACCGTTATTTGTAAAAATTAGCACGTGAGCGATTTGTCTTCGAATAGTAAAATCTTTCATAAGCGATACAAGAATATCACAATCACTTTATCTATTAGATATAAAGTTGGGTGGCATGGGGTGTGTCATTGATCTCATTTAAAATTTTATAAAATATTTATGTAAACTTGTGAGGAGAAATAACATATTCCTAGCCATTCAACTTTACATCACACAACACTGGATGTTTACAACTTTCTTGAAATAAAATAGGGTATGTTTACTGTTATTAAATATTATTTAAACGTCTACTCGCTATCTTCTTCATTTTTAATGCTAACGGTGACTTCATTGAGTAAATGAAAGATTACACAACAAGAGAGAAACATAGAAGAAATAAATAGGGAGAAAGAGAAGATAGACAATAAAAGAATAAGAAGAGGGAAGGAAGAAGAACAAGAATGGCACATAGGAGAAGAAAAAGAGGTGAAAAGGTGTGGCAACAGAGACTAAAGTGTAGCCATTTCTCCATACTTCTCCCTGTTAATGTGGTTGAAGATGACCTCTGTGACCTATAGGTTTAACATTATTTCATTCAAGATGGTTGTACAATACAACCAGATCAAAACTCTTTTATTTATGTTTTGAAATATGAATAACCACAACTTTTCCGTTGTTTCTTTCCTATCCCTATCTTGTACATGCCAAACTAAAAAATGATTAGTCAATTTGTTTGATTTCCTGTGATAAATCTAGATTTGGGGTTCCCAAAAAATTGTCAGTTCCCATACAGAAAACTAGACAGTGGTAAGTTGGTTTGTTTGGTTTCTTGAAGGAAAGCAATGTTCAGATTTGAAAATGTATAAAACCTATAGAGAGAAAGAGGTGATTTAGGGCTTATGTGATCTTTTATTGACATCATCATCACTCGAGCGTAGCAGAGATGAAGATGTTGAGATTGATGAGTGGTAAGACAATAAGGGATAGAATTCGAAATGAATATATTCGAAAAAATTTAAGTGTAGCTCCAATATATAATAAGCTGAGAGATAGGCGACTTAGGTGGGCTGGCTATATGTGGCACATATGCAATACAACATTTGATTCGAGGTACGAGTTAATTCAAGTGGAAAGCTATAAAATAGCAAGGGGAATGTCCAAAAGGACATGGTTGAAAGTAGTGATAAAAGATATAGGAACTTATGGCCTCACCGAGGTTATGACTCTTAATAAAGCAGAATGGCGGATCAATATTCGATTAGCTAACCCTAATTAGTCGGGAAAATATTTTGACGATGATGACCATCACTCGAGCATCATTCCAACTATTTGAGGTAAACTATATGAATCTTGTTATGTCATTCCGCTCCCAATGGTCATACTCTTAATCAGACTATATGTCATTACATCTCTTCTCACAATTTTAATGTTAATCTTCTGTTTATTTACAATATTAACCATGCACTTAACCCAATGTTGCAGTTTAAGCCCCTCTAAATCAATTGTGCTTTTTCAATATTGGTAGGAGTGGCAGTGTGTCTGGTCAGGTCCGATATTTGGACTTAGACCCAAACCGTCAGGTCCAATTTTTGAACCCATACGGAGACCCGGATCGTGTCTACCTCTCGAGTCCCGGGTCGAGTCGGATCCAAGTACATTAGCACTACTAAATATTTGGCGATACAAACTCTCGCGTCTGTGTTGGTTTGCTGAATACAAGTTTTGACCCTCCGCCTCCATCTCTATAAGGAGGTGAAGTGCATGTGTCTCTTTAAAAAAACATTGTATTTACTATTTTTTCAAATCTATTTTGATTTTGCATAAAGCGATAAACCATGGACAACCACTAAGAAGCAAATATATTGGCGATCACTAAGAAGCACATATATTGGTGATAACTTAACGCTCGAAAAGTGTCCACCTAATGGTGGACGGATGTAGTGGTAAGTCATCCCCTAGTTTGGGGCCTAATAGGGCGAACCACCCTCCATATTGGATTTGTTGTTCATTAAAAAAATATAATATAAATATTTGATGATTTGTTTTTGAAGTTAGTGATTGCAATAGGTCAATTCAATGGACGGCCATTATAAGTGCCATTGCAATTAACAATTTTAAAGTTTGGACATAAGCTCCAAGCTCAAGCCGCAGTAAGTTTGACTGGAGCCTGTTTAAATTATGAAAATGTATATGATGAGGTCACTCACCAATATTTTTTTTTGGGGGGTGAATAATATGACAATTTATTTTTGATATAAGAAGGTCATAATCATTGTCAACCGTTGGATGTGAAATCGGATGGGTCGTGATGATCACTAATTGAGCACAAAATCTGAAATAAAATTTATCGAAAATAACGACACATTTGAATATGTTAAATTTCACATCCAATGACTAAATAAAATTGTGAACCTCTTGTACCAAAAATAAATTGCCTCGTAACATACAATCCTTTGAAATATATGCATTATAAGAAATATACCATATGCATTATACTGTAACATATTAAGCTCACCCCCACAGGAAACTCAATTTAAAATATTAGCGAGTGTGTATTGGTGGGGTTTGTATAGGGTTTCCAACCTTAAAAATCAAGGTCGGGTACACCTCTGAATCTTGTTAAAGGATACAATTATGGTGATGGAGACTCTTATATTGGCTTGAAAATCTATTTTCAACCCCTCACTTTGAACTTTGAAGCTCAATAAATGTTGTAAATCAAGCATTGTCTATAATCACTAAAAATTTGGAAATCAAATGTCTAAACAATGCCTTGCAATATGCATTATTTTTAGAACTTTTAATCTTTTTTTTTTCACTCCGCACATCTCGATATCAAGATGATCAATTATAGGGTTTTCAAAACCAAAACAACATTTTCATAATGGATTTTTGAGGCACATAGCTATATATCTAGTCAGCTTTTGAAATGGCATGCCCTTTCTCTCGACTAAATTGTTGTTTATAATGAGAAACCTATGCTTTAACATTTTGTATCCATTTATATATCTATTTGTCATAATCTCTCCTCAACAAATTTGATAAAGTTTATTTTTTTATCCTATGCCCTTTCGTAAAAGTCATTCATAAGTCAGTGGAGGCAAGAGCCGGCTGACTCACTAACGTCTAAAAACTCACAGGGCTAAATGAATTCAGACGATGTAGAAATTTGATGTAAAAAAATCGCATTTTAAATATTGCAAATTTTATTTTACTTTTCATATTCATGATCATCTTACTCTAGAGCACGAATCCTTGAAATTTTAGATTAAAAAACTATTTTTAAGATAGGTTTAAGTGAATGCCGGCATGTGCACAGTATGAGTCGCCTTACTCATGGATACCCCATCCTTTTCTTTTAAAAATATAGTTGAACTAGACTCAGCATTTAAGTTTGAAAAAAGTTTATATAGGTTTGCAACTTTACAAAGCAGAATTAAAGATGCACCTAGAAATTCCATTGAAAAATAGTTGTTTTAATGTCGAAAAAACCTCTAATTTATTATCTCAATATCGAGATGGTTGATTTTAATCATTTTTGGAGTCTAAAATTTTATAATTAGATATAACAATAGGTATTTAGATAATTCTAATAATTTTTTGCACTAAAATTACATGTTATGAAATTTTTTGGTGGTGCGCCTTAACTAGATTTTTTAACGTTGCAACTTTATAAAAACCACATCGTTATTTATCTGTATCTTTTTTGTAAATTTGAGGGGATTCATCATAGATTTTCAATGTCCACAGATAGTACTGGAATCCAATTAGCAATTTTCTAAGGGGGTGGTTCGCATAAGGTTGCAATCTTAAACATTTCAATTAAGGTGCACCTCCAAATTTCATCACCAATGTAATTTTGATATAAAATTTTACTAGGATAGCTTGAGAATCTATTTTCATATATAATTATATAATTATAATTTCTAAAAATTGTTCAAATCAAGTAGATCTATAAACATGTGAAAAATATTGAAAATTGACGGTCCAAATAATGTGTTGTAGTATACATTATTTTGCGAACTGGAAATATTTTTGTCTTTTTATATTTATATATCTCAATGTCAAGATGATCAATTAGAAGGTTTTCCAACATCCAAACAACCTTTTATGATGGATTTTTTAGATGCACCT